GAAGATGCTATCCTTCCTCCATTGCATGCTTTTAGCCCCTTTATCAAATATAAGATAGTTGTAGTTTTGTGGATTGGTTACTGTATCCTCTATTCTGTACCACTCATTGAAGTCTTTACAGAGCTGAGTAGAATATCAGTATACTTTAAGAATCCAGTGGAATGGTGTGTCTCCGTTAAAAGAATGTTAAGTTTGTGTATTCGTCATGGAAAGAAGCCAAGGGTAGTTTGGTTCCATCAAGAACAATGCAGAAGGCTGAGGCAGGAGGATCATGAGTTCAGAGCCAGCCTCAGCAATTTAATGAGGCCCTAAGCAACTCAGCAAGACCCTGTCTCTAAATAACATACATTAAAAAATAAAAAAGTGGGAAGCTGGGCTGAGTATGTGGCTCAGTGGTTGAGCACCCCTGGGTTTAATCCCCAGTACCAAAAAAAAAAAAAGAAAAGAACAATACGGTCTATAGCAGGAGAACACAGGAGAACAGTTTGTTGCATTGTGTGAATAAGCACACACATAACATGCACACCCACACGCATACACGTAATCATACAGAGCCCAAAGTCGGGAGAGATAAAGAACAAAATGCTAATCCCATACTATATCTCCTGGGGATGGGGTAAAGGAACAGGTGACCTTCGCTTTCTTCTTTCTATCCTTCTGTACTGTCCTTTGTTTTCTTTCTTTCTTTTTTAACAAGTGTTCATTTCGATTCCATTCCATTCCACTCTATTCTATGTGGCTGGGGATAGAACCCAGGGGCTCACACTTGCCAGGCAAGCCCTCTGCCACTGAGCTCCACCCCCATCCTATGCTCTACTTTCAGAATCAGTTCAATAAAGTGAAAAAGATAACAAATGACATGTCACAAACAGTTGAATATATTCTGCCTTTCGGCCCCAGTTTGCCCACGCCCTTTGCTAGGTAGTAAAAATGCATGCTCTTAACTTTTGAAAGTGATAGGGAAAAATCAATTTTTAAAATAACCAATCTAGACACTGGAATCAAATCCCGTGGTCTGCCCTCTCCCTCACTTCCCTTTCTGGGTAAGCAACAGAAAGTTTCAAGGGAAATGACATCTCAGTTCTCGTCCCATCTTCAATAGTCCCAAGCAAGTTAATGGATGTAGACATCTACAGGAAAAAAACAGGTTGTCAATCACTTCAGAAATGACACTTCTCCTTCCTCTGGATATTCCTATATTCCTTCAAGTTATTTAAAATTTTTTTGCAGTGGACAGAATGCGGGAGCCACACCAGAAGGTGTGGAGCCATGCAGGTCATTTGGACTATTCCAGGGTACCAGGGATTGAACTCAGGGGCACTCGACCACTGAGCCACAACCCCATCTCTATTTTATATTTTATTTAGAGACAGGGTCTCACTGAGTTGCTTAGCGCCTCATTTTTTGCTGAGGCTGGCTTTGATCTGGCGATCCTCCTATCTCAATAGCCTCCTGAACTCCTGGTTTTACAGGCATGGACCACTGTGCCCGGCCTGAACTATTCGTATCTCTGGGTCCATCCTAAATACCCCCAAAGTAATGAATGAAAAATTGTGTTCAGAGCCTAGCTCTTTCAGTACCATGGCAGGTGGCAGAGCTGAGGCTGGGAGGTGGGGCCTTTCAACCCTCGGTCCTTGGTATGGAATTAAGTCAGAATCCCTCGGGTGGTCCAAGCATGCATATTTTTAAAATATTCTCCAGGAGGGTCTGGGGTGGAACCAGGGCTGAGAGCTTTAAAAGGAATAAACGATCCCATAAGAGTACAGAACCCAGCAGAGCCCAATTAATGCTACCCTGGGCACAGTGGGCATATGCATGGAAAGCTAAGAGGTGGATTAATATAAACAACCAAGTTTCCGTGAGCTTCCCAAATAGGTACTATCTTTACCAACACAGAAATTCTAATTTCAGCCACATTAGTCACCTCTTTATCTAATCCTGTTTTATTGATATGGCTGCACAGTGCATTGGCAAACTCGTGCTTGATCAAACAGACTGGGCCTTTGTCCTGGCATTGCTGTGTACTGCAAGTGGTTAGAACCAAGATACCTGGACTCCAGGGCTGTTTTGCAAAAATGAGAGGTTTGGCATGGATGATTTTAGAAGTGCTAGACAGCTCCAGATTTCACCTGTCATTCTATTTGAAGTCAACAGTCCTTTCAAACAACCCACAAAAGCAGGAATAGCTGTGCATGGTGGCGCACATCTGTAATCCCAGCAACTGGGGAGGCCGAGTCAGGAGGATTGCAAGTTCAAGACCAGCCTGGACAATTTAGCAAGGCCCTTAGCAATTTAGAGAGACCCTATTTCTAAATAAATAAATAAATAAAAAGGGCTGGGGATGTAGCTCAGTGATCAAGCACCCCTTGGATTCAACCCCCCTACCCCCCCAAAAAAAAAATCCAGGAATAAATATTTAAATATTTGCAGATTATTACAAAAGCCATCACACCCTTCAGAACCCCTGTGCACTGAAGTGCCTGCTTTCTATCACCTGTCTCCACTTATTTCTTCCTTGATAGTAATGCGTTTCACTTTGTTTTAAAAGGATTAGGAAACAAAATACATTTTAAAGGGTGTCATTAGTTGTGAGCACTTAAGAATTCAACTACAATGGCACTGAAACACTTCCATACAGTCACCCGGCAGGAAGACCACTTTGCTGCAGGCTCCAGACACCCAGGAGTTGTAGACTTGGGGTGCACACCTCAGCATGTGGGTGAGGATATTGATGGGGAACGCAGGTGTAAAAGGTGGATCTTGGCACTGCGCCCTAGAAATTGTGAAACCAGAACTCAGAGTAGGGGAAGTTGGACATCCCAAAGCACGGACTTCATTGCACGCAGCCTTCTTCTGGCCTCCAGTAAGGTCTGGTCAGAGGTCCACCAGCCGGGCTCCACTTGGTCAGGAAAACACAGTAGTTAGGAGGCATCTTGGGTCAGATGCCCTGGAAGCAGAGCCAGGGACAAGGGTTTTTGTTTACGTCATTTATCAAGAGTGTTCCCAGAAGAAACCCAAAGTGAGGGAGGCAGGAAAAGCCAGGGGGAGGTGAGCACAGATATGGTTTCTGCTAACATCTGGCCTCAGCCTGTTCTCACGGAGAGGGCTAGAGCATGAATGGCACCCCGGGTCATGCCACTCAAAGCAGGAGTCAGGCTTTTTGGTCCTGCCTCAAGCAGTTATTGGCTGAGGACTGCGACTCCTGCCTTGGGATGGGAGTGAGGGGGCAGCCAAACCTCTTAGGCTTTTCTGTCAAAAAACTGAGGCTTAGACCAGACTCAGCTGAGGCTCTCCCCAGACCCGCAGCAGCTGGGGAGTGAGTGCACCTGCTGGTCAAAGCCACCTGGGCAGAGCTCCAGGGGGCTGAGAGGAGCAGCATGTGGCCTTACCACATCCATGATCAAAATTGCTCTTGTGGATTCTTGCAGACTGCATGTCAGGCCCCTGTCCTTTTGGGGAGGTTCAGCTTCAGCCCTCGACATCGACGTTGCCCACCCTCAACAGAACTTTCATCTGGGACGTCAAAGCTCACAAGCGCATCGGCCTGGAGCTGCAGTTCTCTCTCCCACGCCTTAGACAGATCGGGCCCGGGGAGAGCTGTGCCGACGGGGTCACTCACTCCATCAGCGGCCGCATCGATGCCACTGTGGTCAGGATCGGCACCTTCTGCAGCAATGGCACTGTGTCCCGGATCAAGATGCAGGAGGGAGTGAAGATGGCCTTGCACCTGCCGTGGTTCCACCCCCGAAATGTCTCTGGCTTCAGCATTGCCAACCGCTCGTCTATAAAACGTGAGCACACCCCTCCCTCCCTAGTAGGTGGATGGAAACACAGGAAGTGGCCGTCATTTTTCTAGGGCAGGGATGGCACATGGTCGGCCATTCTGTAGCAGTCAACTAATGCCCTCAAGGAAGATCCTATGCTCCTATAAGCCACTTGGGCCACTTGTGAGAGCCTCCTTTCTCTCTTAAACAAACAGAACATCTCTTTTCTTTGTCCTGTCTGCATATGATACTTATTTTCACAAACTTGGTTGCCCTACCTCTGTCTCCCTCACATTTTCTAAATGTGTGTCAGTGAGTGCACGCTCACAATGGCTCCTGGGGGTTGTTCCTTAAGTGTTCTGGAATTTTGTGAGCTGATGTTAAACAGAGTCGGTCTCAGCAATAACACTGTATAAACTTACAATTCAATAAAGCATTTTAGAAGCAGAGGTAATAAATACGCCCAGCTCATCACTTCCTAATTATTTTACTACATTTTACTATAATCTCTGATCTCCAGGTTATTTATGACTCTCCTATCTTTTTGGCAGACATACAATATAATGATGTCTGTTGCCCGACTCTGTATCCAGTTGTGTTGGAAACTTGAAGTCAGCCATGGTGGGAGTATTTACACCAAGGAAATGGGCATAGTCCACAAAGTAGGGCTTTTCCCCTGCCGAGTGTAAACATACATCCAAACTCACTCCTAGGAGTTGGGAACTGTGATTGTGTAGTCACCTCCTTTTCTTTCTGGTCGGGTTCCATTCCCAACAGGCCTGTGCATCATCGAGTCTGTGTTTGAAGGGGAAGGCTCGGCCACCCTGATGTCTGCCAACTACCCAGAAGGCTTCCCCGAGGATGAGCTTATGACGTGGCAGTTTGTGGTCCCCGCACACCTGCGGGCCAGCGTCACCTTCCTCACCTTCAACGTCTCCAACTGTGAGAAGAAGGAGGAGCGGGTGGAGTACTACATCCCCGGCTCCACCACCAACCCCGAGGTGTTCAAGTTGGAGGACAAGCAGCCCGGGAACATGGCTGGGAACTTCAACCTGTCCCTGCAGGGCTGTGACCAAGACGCCCAGAATCCAGGGATCCTGCGACTGCAGTTTCAAGTTTTAGTCCAACATCCACAAAATGAAAGCAGTAAGTAATCTCCTGCACACCCTCTCTGATTCCCTGGGGAGTCGGCTTGGGTGGGGTCCCTTGCCTGTTTTCTCATCTGGGCTCCTGGAGCACTTGGACTCTGGCCCCTAGAAGAGTTTCAGGAAGTAGGTTGCTAGGTAACAAGAGGCTCTCTGGTGAACACCCAGCATGCAGTTTCATTTTAGCTCAATAAGCAAGCAGCAAACGTGATCTTGCATTCAGGGTGCTAAGTTGTTTTTAATGAAACCCAGGGAAACCCTCTTTCTAGACCTCAGGTCTTGACCCTGCAGTGTGAATGTGATGTCACCAGCACTGTCAGCATGATGATGACAGCTCTCAGTTTTTTAGCTGAGCACCCCTTACCATGGACACTCACTGCAAGCCAAGCCCCGTGCCAAACACTTAAACAGCATCCTTATCCTTACTGCAGCCCTGTAGGGGAGATGGGAATGATCTTTTATCAATGAAAAACCAGAAGGTTCAGAAAGGTTATGAAAAAGGTTGTGAAACCAGCCCAATGTCACATAGCTTATCAGGAGCAGAGCAAGCCCACTCTGGACCATACTGAGCTCTAGGCAGATGGGACACTATTCCACAGACATTGCTGAGACACCATGAACCTAGAGGTGGAGAGTCCAGCTCAGGATTGGGTGCATTCAAGGGACCAGGATGCAAAATTTAAGGAGGCACCCACTTGGAGGAGCCTCACCTCGTCCTGGCACTATTGTGACTTTTGAGATCAAAGCAGAGGAGTCAGTGTCTGTACCTGGGCCCATCATGCACTGAAGTCTGGGGAGGAGTGAGTTATGACAGGTGGTCTTCAAGAGGACACTTCTGACACACACTGAGGGTGGGCTGTGTCCTGAGAGCTGGTTCTCATTCTTGTTTTTATTATCATTCACTCTAGGAAAGGGGCAGAGCCAGGCAGAAACATTTCTTTCTGCAGAGCATATAAACATCCAAAAAGTGATAGCATGGGATCTTCTCAAAAGACTGCCCAATTCGAACTGGGAATCTTGCCACTCTTTTGCATGTGTGTATGTGTGTGTGTACACATGCCATACACACTTACATATATGTACACATGTATGTGTGCAAATATGCCTACTCAAGTGTATCCCCTGAGACATTTATTTTGTTTCCACTGCCACCGTCGTGTCATCAGAGTGTGGAACACAGTGCAAAAGGATCTAGAAATGGAGTGGGTCTGGGTTTTAGAAGACAGAAGGGTTTGTTTATCATCTCAATCATGGTGAAGTGCTGCTGAGAACCTCTAATGAATTCTGTTTCCTGCAACATCTGCTGGGCTGGTTTCTAAAACTAATCATATTGTTAAACAAGCCATAAACAGCATCCAGGAGGGAGTGGATTCAGTTCTGAGATGAACAGAGACTGAAGAACTTCGGGGCCAGGTGGATCACAGAGTCGGCCTGTCGAGTCCAGTTTGGTCCGTACTGTTCTAGAGGAGGAGTGGATCTGGCCAGCAGGAATATCTCTGGGGAGAGAAGAAGGGTGGGCTGGACTCCTAAAAGCTCTGGCAGCTCCCTCTGATGCTGTGAACCCCAGTGTAGGCCCTGCATTTCCAGGACTAGTCCAAGGAAGCCAGTCCTAGGCACCCACACACCTGTCTGACCCGTTCCTCATGCAGGAAATGATGATGGCAGCTCGTTTTGTAGGCAGGGTTCCCAGTGGGCAAGGGCACTGACCTGGGGAGTCAGCCCAGGTGGATCTGTCTCCCATCTTCCCTGTTTTCCTTGTGACCAGGTCAAGCCGTTTTGCTTCTGCATGACTCAGCTCCTCACCTGTGCGGTGGAGATGATGGATGCTGCAAGGCCAACCTGAGGCAGCCCAGGGCCCAGCAGGTTGTAAGCCCTCTCTAAATGCTACCTGCAGGGTTCTAGGTCAAGAAGAGGATGCAGGGTTGGAAAAGACGGGGAGATGGTCCCCAGAGATTGGGCTGTGGCCCAGAAGAGAAGTGATTTGTAAGCGGTAGCAAGTCACTCCTGGAAGGAGCTCTGCAGACCTCAGGCTGGGAGAATTCCAAGGGAGGACTCATGGCAGAGTCTGCTCTTTCCCAAGCTGCCCAGAGGCCCCATCTGTGCGGCGGTGCATGCCCCCTGGTGACCCCAGGAAGGGATGCCAAGTGTAATTTTGGCTTTCTTAGCTTGGAATTGAGCAAGCAGAAGTTGAGGGGAGAGGGGCTTCAAGGTGAATGAGTCCCTTGGGTCCAAGCCTGTGTCCTCCCTTCTCATACAAGAGCTAGAGGAAACCTCCTATAGCTGGTGCCCCCCTGAGCCCTCCTCCTGGTGCACCTCCCTGAGCCCAAGCCAGGGCCTGCTGCTGTCACTGGACCGTCTTCAACCCCAGCATCAGGGAGCAGCTGCCCAGACCAAAGACTATACCCCAAGAGCCCATGTGGCTGCTCTGCCTTCCTTACGGGCCAAGTTGTATTTATCCATCTGCACACCTGAGTCCCACTAATCTTCATCCAGTTTTGTTCCTCTTTCTGTAGCCACCAGTTTCTGCACATTCCAGCCTCTCCATAAATTCATAAACATTGCACCAATCTCAGGAGGCAGTATCCTATCCCAAGTGGCACAAGATCCAGACGCATCATATAGAAAACTATAGAAAACCAAAGGGCACCACAGGAATGGTTTAAGAATTGAACTCCCTTGCTGATGATTTAGTGGAGAAAATATTTTTAAAAAAGAAAAGAAAACCAGAGGACTGCACTGGAGGACCCAGTCGGCTGAGACCCTTTGCCATCCCATGGCCAGACCTGACCACAAGTGGGCCCAGGCTACAAAAATATTTCTGAATGTGAGCAGCCAGGCACATGTTAACCTTGAATCTTATTGTCCCCTCCACATCACCACCACCACCAACCTGCTATTATTCCTCTGTCCGCTTGCTGAAAAATATCAGTTGGTTCAAGTGTACCCAGGGGACTCCTGCATTCAGTTTTACAGTAAGTCATGCACAGGCTGCCCAGGACCAAAGGAATAATGGATGTGCCCCCAGCTGTGACTAATGTGTCCACTGCTGGCTTTGCCTCACAAAATGGGAAGCTCAGAGGCTCAAAAGAGTTCATGTGCATCTCCACCAAAAAAAAAAAAACCTGCCTGTTAAAGGCGTCATAATGCACTCTCTTCTTTTCTCTTGATAGTACAGAATTATCATGTCACACCGGGGGTGGCTACCATTTGTACCCTGCAGCCTGTCTCCCCTGTTGTGTAATTCCTAGAAGATTGGAGTAGCCCTGCTGATGACGATTACATGAGTCAATAGTGTACCTCCTGTCCACAGCATCCTCCTTAGGGGGAGCCTGCTAGCCTCTGCGTAATGCATCCTCCTTGATATATTTCTGAAGATATATTTACTTTCTCTGAAAATATCAAGCAAATTGGTATCTTCAAAACCCCTGGGCCAGCTGGGTACAGTGGCACACTCCTGCCTTAGGCTCCCGAGAGTCCAGAGATTCTCCGGAGCCTGAGGCAGGAAGATCTCAAGTTTGAGGTCAGACTTAGCAACTCAGTAAGACCCTGTCTCAAAATTAAATTTTCAAGAGCTGAAAGCATAGCTCAATGGTAGAGCACTTGTCTAGCATGCTTAAGGACCTGGGTTCAATTCCCAATTTATATATATATTTCCATCCCCCAAAGGCATAGACAGGTTTAGAGAGCCACTTTTGGGGTATAGCAAGGTATACATACTCAATCGAGAAATGTGAGCTATCTTGAGGAGTATAATGGGTTTTTAAGAACATTTTTTAAAGTATTTTTCAACATTTTAAAGAATATTTAATATTTATAAAGGCACAGAACAGTCAGAAAGAGAAATGGAAAGAAAACTATGTAACTTTTCATGAAATGGAAAGTAAGGTGGTAACTGATCCATCGGATCCAAAAGTGCAGAATCAGAAACAACAATGGGAAAGAAGAAACCTGGTTTGTCCCACAAAGGCGCGAGAAGTAGCAAGTCAGATCCAGACCGGGGGACAAACTGGGGCTAAGAGTGGAAGAAGCCACTAGAACACCAGGTCCTTCTTCTGTGACAGCAAGTGCCAAGCTCCTGCAGCTCTTCCCCAGCCAAGGACAATAATGTTTCTCCTTGAGACAAGATAAGACAGTCATTGACCCAAAGGTCCCAGCCTTTGCTTTAGGGAGAAAACTGAGCACCTGGATTGTCTGGAAGTTACCCACCAACTACCGTGCCACCTTCCCCTCACTGAGCCAGGCACACATTTCCTCCCTTTTTTGGAGTGACGGGCTCTTTTCTGAAGGAATCCCACCAATCCAAGAGACCCTGTCCACAGCATCCTCTTTAGGGGGGAGCCTACTAGCCTCTGTGTAATGCATCCTCCTTGAACTTTCTGAAGATACAATGTTAGTGGTTTGACTGGAAGCAGTCGGGCCATAAAACCCTACAGAGAAGCTCCATCAACAAGCAGAGGTATTCCAAATAGCTTCCAGGGTCCCCTTTCAGTGAGAGCAATAGGCAGATCCCCAGGCACCTGTAGAAGGCCAGTGAGAAAGACCAGGACCAAAACAAATTAACAGAAGAAAAGTAACTGGGAGGAGGCGGAGATATTGGATGGAGAAAAACCACAAAAAAGCTATCAGCCGGGCGTGGTTGTGCACACCCATAATCCCAACAGCTTGGGAGGTTGAGGCAGGAGGATGGTGAGTTCAAAGTCAGCTTCAGCAGGAGTGAGGTGCTAAGCATCTCAGTGAGACTTTTCTCCAAATAAAATAGGGCCGAGGATGTGAACTCAGGGCCTTGGGCTAGGCAAGCTCTCTACCACGGAGCCATAGAACCAGCCTTTTTAAAATTTTATTTTAAGACAGGGTCTCACTAAGTTGCCCAGGCTGGCCTCAAATTTACAATCCTCCCACCTTAGCCTCCCAAATTGCTGGGATTACAGGTGCAGGCCACTGAGCCTCGTCTAGGTTGTAATGTTTTGAAAAGAGCTTTCCAAAGGATCTCTTAGAGAAAAATCCAAGAAATAAAAAATGGAAGGGGGGCTGAAAGATAAAGATGAGGAAATCTCCCAGAAAGTGGAGTTTGGTTTGTTTTGTTAAGAAGAAGAAGAAGGAGAGGAAGAGGAGGAGGGGGAGGGGGAGGGGAAGGAGAAAAGAAAATTTCCTGGGCAGGAAAGGAAAAGTAATTATAGTATGCAACATGATATGACTCTATGAACACTGTCTTAGTATTGTATTTACACAGTCATGATAATGCAGACAGAATAATGATTTCACTGTTAAATATAACTGTTAGAGAAAATGAAAAGGGAAGTATGTGTATCATGCTCTATATGTTTGCTACAACATGCCATTTGCTCAGTACTACATCTAGGAGGCTTTTAGATCTCTCTCAGTCTTTTTAACTGCTGTATAATATTCATGAATGTCCCGTAGTTTATTCAACTATCCAGTGTCAGTTGGTTTCTGGTCTGCACAGCCCTGAGATAAAATGTGGGCACACATCATCACATCACACGGCTGAGTTCCCAGGGCTGCAAGGTTTTCATTTATACACTGCTTCTCAAGTGACTGTGACAGGCTGACCCAGGCTTCTGCCAGTCTTGTGGGTGAAGCACCTGTTTCCCTAACCTCCCTGGCACACGGTATCACCATATGTTTATGTTTTCCCCATCTGAGTCGGGGAAAAGAGACCCTTGGTTTTAATTTGCTTTCTCTGGTGACAAGTGACACTAAAAACCTTTCATATTTTGAATATCTGGACACTGATGTCTCCTTCTGTGAACTGCTCAATCGTTGCCTATCGGCAATATGTCCCCCTCCCTCTGAGTCCCTTGTCTCTGTTACTTATAGCACCTATTGCTGATGGAGATTTTAATCTTTTCATTCATTTATTTGTTTTGCTTTTATACTTTGTGTTGATTTCATATTTCTAATATTTGATTTTATTGGGTGAAGTCCACTGCTTTTTAATTTTCTTTGAAAGTTACTGCAATATGACACTAATAATAAAAAACCCATGCCCTGTGCTACTTTCCTCCTCGGGAGAGGTTGACTACAGACTCTTACCATCTTAAGTGGCTGCTGCTGGTCCGTGCATCACACCTCGTTTCTATTCGTGTTTTCAGATAAAACCTACATAGTTGACTTGAGTCAGGAGCAGACCATGTCAATCACCATCGAGCCTCGCCCCGTCAAACAGAGCCGCAGATTTGTCCCTGGCTGCTTCGTGTGTCTGGAGTCTCGGACCTGCAGTAACAACGTCACCCTGACACCGGGCTCCAAGCACAAGATCTCCTTCCTTTGCGATGACCTGACACGCCTGTGGTTGAATGCAGAGAAAACCATAAGTACGCCCCTCGCTGGTACATGGGTCTCTGGCTGCGGGCAGCTCTGCCCCTGCCTGCCCTCCCTTCTTAGGAGGGTTCATTAGGTAGGTTGGGAATTGTCTGATGTGAAATACCCACCCAAGTGCAGGTGAGCAAGGGCAGCAAGAAGGAAACAGCATGTGCAACACACCGGCTTTAGGACCAGCCTCAGTTGGAACGTGCCTCCCTTGAAATTCCCTACTATGTCTGTGCTATGTCTCTGCTGGCCTGCCAGATCCCCTCTGATGAAATCTCTCCTCTGCTTAGCCTACTCCAGTCCATCTGCCCCTGCACCCTCACTTCCGTATTCACTGCCCACCTGTCTCCTCTGCATCAGACTGAGAAGAACTTTGCCTAATTCCATTTTTTAAAAAAAATCCATTAAACCCTAGTAGTGCTGAGCATGTGCTGGTCACTTAAAGAATCCTTGATGAATGAAGGGCAGCAGAGCCTATTGTCACCTCCCTGATGAGCCACTGTGAGCTTTGACATGGGTGCCCTTAGAGTCTCTACAATGCAGGAGCTGAACCCACATGTAGACTTCAAAGGTCACTCCCTTAGGAGCTGGACATGGTGGCATACACCTGTTATCTCAGTGACTCCAGAGGCTGAGGCAGAAGGATCCCAAGTTCAAGGCCAGCCTCAGCAACCTAGTGAGACCCTGTCTCAAATAAAAAAATAAAAAAGGCTGGGGATGTAGCTCAGTGGTAAAGCGCCCCTGGGTTCAATGTCCAGTACGACCAAAAGTAAATAAAGAAATACATCAGCTCACTCCATTAGAAGTACAAATTAACAAATTAGACCTCTAAATAAATAAATAAATAAATAAAAAGATCTCCCCGGTGGCACTCATAGATGTCTAGATGCGACTACTACACCAAACAGCCTGCCCTCACCACACTTAGCATCTCAGACACAATGCAAACAAGAAGAGAGCACTCATATCCTAAGTCCTGCAGATGGCTGACAGTGGGAATGGGAGAGAGCAGGGGAAATCCAGCAAAGCAGATGCAGGGAGCCAGAAAGGGGGGATGGGGGACCACGGGGATGCGACACGGGACAGACCAGAAGGAAAAAGTCTGCAGGGGAAGGCAGGGCGGGCGTGGGAGCCAGGGAGGGCGATTTCCGATCCCTGCACATAGGAACCACCAGCCTCTCTCCTAGGCTGCACAGACCACCGGTACTGCCACAGGAAGTCCTACCAACTCCAGGTGCCCAGTGACCTCCTCCAGCTGCCCGTACAGTTGCATGACTTCTCCTGGAAGCTGCTGGTGCCCAAGGACAGGCTCAGTCTGGTGCTGGTGCCCAAACAGAAGCTGCAACAGCACACTCATGAGAAGGTCTGCAATACCAGCTTCAGCTACCTCGTGGCCACACACCTGGCCACACCTGGTCAGGAACTGTACTATGGCTCCTTCTGCCCTGGCCCTGGAGGCTCTATCGAGCAGATCCAGGTGAAGCAGAACAGCTCCGTGACCCTCCGGACCTTTGCTCCCAGCTTCCAACAAGAGTTCTACAAGCAGGGCCTGACCGTGTCCTTCACCCCACACTTCAAAGGTAAGGGGGACCCTCACCCTCTCTCTCCCATCTTGTTTGGGCAATTTAATTATTTTTTTAAAATTTATTTACTTTTTAAGTTGTAGTTGGACACGACGATACTTTTATTTATTTATCTATTTTTAATGTGGTGCTGAGGATCAAACCCAGGGCCTCACACGTGCCAGGCAAGTGCTTTACCACTGAGCCACAACCCCAGCCCAGGGCATCCATGTTTACCTTGAGTTGTGTGAGTCCCTTAATTAAGTTGCCAATTTGGAGAGAAGGGGTGACTGAGGCGCTGATCTCCCACGCAAGAGATTTCAAAGATGACGAGTCCTGATTCCGGTTTTTCCCATCAACCTAGGATGGAAAATTCCAGAAGTTTGAAAAGAAAAAAAAGAAAATGTTTCTCCCAGCTGAAGGCAATGGTTGGTAGGCAGCAGAACAAATAATCAGGTTCAATTCTCTTTTGGAAGCAGGCAGAGCGTAAATGAGAAATCACCAAATATTCCCCAGCCCTGAATTTTTAAGATGGGAACATAAAAATTCTTTTGCAGACATTTTTATGATTCTGCTTTTACAATTCAGGACGCAATGTGGAGAGAGAGCCCGAGGAGGAATTGGGGGAGGGAGGTGACTCCCTGGAGCACAAGGGTCCCTTTCTGCAGCCTGGTGAAGGTTAGATTAAGGTCTTCGTGTCCGAGGCAAGAAACGAGGTCTAAATGGCTCACCGCAGTAACCTCCAGGTGGTTGATTTTAAAAGTCACAGTTGCCGTGATAAGTTGCTCAGAGAACAGTGCCATTAAATTAGAGGCCATTTCAAAATTGACCAAGACCTTTATTTAAGGTTTACTTTGTATTTTTGTTCTCAGAGGCAGGAGTGGGAGGGAGATGAACTTTTAGCCATAGATTAAGATCGGTCCAGACTTCCTGATATCTCCAAGGTTACCAGAGAAAATCCTCTGGGCAACCTTTGAAATTAAGGTACTCTCATTAGAGTGGAAAAGTGGGGTTTTTATCTCACCGGAAGGTAAGAAATGGATTTATGAATGTGTTAGAAGCTGTTGCAGATTTATGATTCTAGAATTCTTCCCAGAACATGAGGGTTCTTTGGTTTTTTTTCCCCCCAGTCTCTGAATCAGAAATTGGTATATACCAATCCCAATGGAGCAAGGCAGCAGACAAGCATTAGCTATGTTGAGAATTATTTCTGAGAGGAAAATGAGTTAACCACAGGTTTGGCAAACTGAACTGTTTTCTGTTTGTGTTTTCCAAAAGACCTAGACACCTCATCTGACTGGAACTAATTTTGCACTGACTCATACACTAACTATCAGCTACATGTGCTTATTTAAATTAATAGTAAACAAATCTAAATTGCCGTTCCTCGTTGTGTTAGCTTTCTGTCACTGTGATAAAATACCTGAGATAATTGACTTATAAGGAGGAAAGGTTTATTTGGTCTCATGGTTTCAAAGTTTTCACTCCATGGTTGCTTGGCCCTGTTGCTTTGGGGACCAAGCAGCACAGTATATCATGGCAGGAGCACATGACAGAAGAAACTGCTCACCTCATGGCAGCCAGAAAGCAAAGAGAGAGGAAGGGACCAGTTCCCTCGGCACCACCTCCCAATAGGGCCACAGGCTGGAAACCAAACCCGTAACACCTGGGCCTTTGGGAGATATTTCAGATCCAAATTTTAGCACTCAGTCAAATTAATCCCATTTCAATGGCAACCACACATGGGGCCATGGAAATGCTATTAAACGGTGCAGATAGAGAATATTTCCAGGGACTAGGGATGTAGCTTCGTGGTAGAGCATCTGCTTAGCTTTGATCCCCAGCATGTTAATAAAAGAGTCAAGAATATCATCACTGCAGAAAGTCCTGCTGGACCGTGCCAGTCTAGCAGATTTAACATGTCCTCCTGTACCCCTCCTTTCTCTCTTTTATTTTCCATCTGGATGAAGTGAAACGGTGTCTTTCTGGATCCCCTTCCCTTTTCTGCAGAGGATGGGATTTTCACCGTGACGCCAGACACAAAGAACAAGGTCTACCTGAGGACCCCCAACTGGGAGCGGGGCCTGCCAGCCCTCTCCTCCTTGTCCTGGAACATCAGTGTGCCCCGTGATCAGGTGGCCTGCCTGACCTTCTTCAAGGAGCGCATCGGCGTGGCCTGCCAGACGGGGTGGGCACTCATGATCATCCAGGAGCAGAGGTCGCAACCAGAGGAGATCTTCAACCTGGAGGAGGTCATGCTCCCCAAGCCAAGCTTCCACTATCACAACTTCTGGGTCAACATCTCCAACTGCAGCCCCGTGAGCGGCAAGCAGCTGGACCTGCTCTTCTGGGTGACTCTCACCCCAAAGACCCTGGGTAAGAACTTCCACAGTCTTTCAGAGATGGTAGTGATCAGGAAAAAAAAAAAAAAAAAAAACAGCATCTGAAGAGCTAGGAATAAGCCTAGGAGATAAGTCAGAAAACAGAGAGAGAGTCCTGGTTGTCCTTGTATCGGTCAGTTATTGCATTGATAATGCTGCGTAACAAACCACCCAAGAAGTTAGCAGCTTAAAACAGCCATTTATTACTGCTCATGCATGGACTGAGTGATTCTGGTCTGAGCTGGGATTATTGGGCTCACGCATTCATGCAGTTGAAGGTTGGTTAGAGGATTTTATTGATCTTAGCTGGGCACTTTCATACGTAAGGGGTTTAGCCAAGCTATCTGACACAACTAGGCTTACCTGAGCCTTCTTCAGGTGGTCTGTTATCCTCCAGCTGGACCTGTTCTCTTGACAGAGGCAGAAAGATCCACAAGAGACTCGCAGAAGCATGCACAGTCTCTTGATGCTGGAATTGGGAACTTTTTTTTTTTTTTTGGTACCTGGGACAGAATTCAGGGGTACTTGACCACTAAGCGACATTCCCAGCCCTATATTGTATTTTATTTAGAGACAGGGTCTCACTGAGTTGCTTAACGCCTTGCCATTGCTGAGGCTGGCTTTGAACTCGCAGTCCTCCTGTCTCAGCCTCCCGAGCCACTGGGATAACAGGCGTGCCCACTGCGCCTGGCTGGAATTGGGAACTTTGCACTATCCCTTCTAGCACATTCGTTGGGTCTGCCTAGATTTTCTCAGCCGAACTTCCACAGTTCTGTACTCTTCATCTCTTTCTCACATGGGGGGAGTCTCTGCCTCCTGTGATCTTCTTTATCTGTAAAGTAGGTGATTACTATATCATAAAAGTATCATGGGGATCCAGTGCCAGGGATTAAAAATGTGACATAGATATGCAATACTGCTATTTTTTTTTTTTTTTAAATTTCATCCCAGTAAAACTTTGGGCTCCATGAACAGCCCCAGTCGCAGGCCTTAGAGCAGGGTGGAGAATTTTCCTCTATGACTCCAGGAAGTGCCTACAAGGCAGGGTGATCTGCAGTGGGACCGTGTGTTCTCCTTATGGCCAGAGTGCCACAGAGTGTTGGAGCCTGAAGGACCGTGGAGGCTATTTTCCTGACCTCTTCCCTTTCTGGAGGCCAGAGGGATTGGATATCCCCCCGAAGGTCACACAGCTGCTTAGCAGCAAGAGAACTAATGGGAACCAAAGCCTGGGTGACAACTTCTCCCGTGTCCTTAGGTTATCGCCTGGATTCTCCTCCTCTCCTCCATTAGTTTTCTATCATTTCTTTTCCTATTTCCTCCGAAGCGCATCTTCTGTCTTCTTAGCTCTTGGATTGACTTTCTCTTTCCTCCACTCGGCTAAAGAAAAGGTCAGTGTAGATGAAAGAGCCCTCTCCTCACCCTTCACCCTTGACGCTTGACCCCCTGCTTTCTCTCCCACTCTGCTCTTCCCTCCTCCAAGACAGACTGGTGACTGGGGGAACCCACCTGGTGGTAGACCAGGAATACCCTCTGGAGTAGATCTGATAGGTCTCCCCAATTGTTCCTATTTGTCTATTGCTACGTACATACCATCCCAAAATGTCATGGCTTAGACCTTAACCATTTTCTTGGTTCACAATTTCTGGGTCAAGAATCTTGGCAGGTCACAGCAGGATGGCTCCTCTGCACTCCAGGGCATCTGGGTCCCCTGACAGATGCCTAGAACAGCTTAAGGTTGACTGGGATGGAGACATGTCTGGGACCTTGGTTCTCACTTTGTTTTTTTGTTTTTGTTTTGTTTTGTTTTTCCCATGGAGTCTCCACATGGCTAGCTTGGGCTTCCTCCCAGCATGGTGGTCTCAGCACAGGCAGACTTCTAACATGGTAGCTGCCTTCCCCTCACAGAAAAAATACAAGCTGGGCAAGGCCTATAGCTTGGTGGTAGAGTACTTACCTAATATGTGTAAGCCACTGGGTTCCATCCCAGCACTACAAAACAAGGTGCAAGCTGATAGTCTTCTTAAGGATCAAGGTCAGAAGTGACACAGCCACCTTCTGTTGGCCACCCCAAACTCAGGAGAAAGGAAATACACTCCCTCTAATGTGAGCAGTATGTGGGTACAGAAGGGGAGGGCCTGGGGGCAGCCAAGCCTGGAGTCCACTCGGGTTCATCATTGCGCTGACCACCCCGTCTCATCTGTCTCCTTGTGTCTCTGCCCACAGACCTGACTGCTATCATCATCGCTGTGGTGGCAGGTGGGGCCTTGCTACTGTTGGCCCTCGGACTCATCATTTGCTTCGTGAAAAGGAAGTAAGTGGAATCCCTCCAGCTGTCTGGCTGACTCGATGTCTCCTCCGTCACGCAGCCCAGATGTAGTATTAATTATTGGCTTTGTGTTCTTGTTTCTCCTTCCTCTCCCACAAAGATCCGTGTTGAATAATATTGCTAGGTCTGAGTTATGGTTTGGTGGGGGGGTGGGAGGAGATCCTATCCTAGGAGGGGATAAAGGAAAAATAAAAGCAACACGCTGTGACTTTCTGGCCGCAGCTTCTAGCTGCCTGGGCACAAGAGCCCCGTGAGTCACTCTCTTGTTTGCTCATTAAACTGATCCACACAGGGGACCTTGGCAGGAAGGTGCTCAGTAGGCCCTGCCAGGCCAGGCCAGGCCTCTGGAACTGCACGCTCTCTTTCCCCTGGAGGAACACGCACACATGTTGCCCCTGCTTATTCTCCTGCAGTTTATTAAACAGACTGTCTGCTTTGAGCCTGTTTGTTAGACTCCAGACAAGCACCAAAAGGGCATCTCTACGGGTGAGAGGAAGACCCATCGACCTCCTCCATCCCACCTTCCACCCGCTCAGGAGGGCAGCTTCTGTTGCATGAAAGGCAAATGACCTTTTTTAGACAGAGTCCATGCTTTGCCACAGATTTTACAAATTCATATTTCTGATGAAAACCATGCGGGAGAAGAGACATCTGCTTTCCGTAGCATGTTTTGACCTTCCAAAAAAAAAAAAAAGCCAACAACAACAAAAATGGTTTGAAATTAACCATGACTCTGAGCAAACCAACTGAAATTCCTCATTTGCAAGGAGATGGTCTAGAAATGTCCCCACTGATGAGGAAGTCCTGGCTCTTTGCAGGTCCTAGAGAGGCCTCTTGTCCATGAAATGTGGCTGTGGGAAGGACTTCTCTTAATGAAACGTCATGTTACTTTTCCTCTTAGGAGACTCTCTTGTCCAGGGCACACAGAATGTCCCACCCAGTGAGGAAAGCCTGGTGTTAAGACTGAGCCCCAGCTTCTCACCAGGAGGGACCTGGGTAGGGGCGGGGGTCCAGCCTTGCCTCCATCTCTAAACTGCTCCACTTTGGGCCTGAGGATCACTAGCCCTGGCCTTGTCGAGGTCCCCTTGCCTGTGTGAAGCCATGTGTTGACAGGTTTATATAAGCCCATGCATCTCCAGGTTGGTGTAGCTAGAGTGGACAGATTCTGCAACACGAACCAGCAGAGACAGCACCATCCAACTTGCTCACTGGGCACGTATTCCCTGAGGGTCTCCTAAGCACGAAGGACCCACGCGAGATGCTGAGGATAAAAGCAGGAGCAAGACGCAGTCTCTTCTACTGTCCATGGGGTAGAGGAACAAAAGAGGCAGGTTCGGGATGCAGGAGAGCTTTGGAGAGGTCAAGCAAGACACTGTGGGAGTGTGAAGGAGGGGCATCCATTAGAGACCTCAGGCAGGAAGCCTAGGAGCCCATCCTCTTGACCAGAAACTCCACATAACAAGCTAACAGTACTAGATTTATTTTTATCTCAGGTTGCTGATCCACAATTAGTGAACTGCCAGCCCCATGCATTATGTGGTCCATTATGCTAATGGAGCTAATGTCCTCCATTCAAATCGCTCTGGTCAGCTAACAAGTCAGCCTTCCCTGCTATTTGGCTCCCAGAGACGGAAGGCGAAGCTTTGTTTTCCAAGGCAGAGAGTGCTAATGTCCAGCCACGTCCAAGTACCAGAGAACATTGCACTCCAAATGTTAATGGCGTTATTGTGGAACACTGGCACGTGGCCCAAATTCTGTCTTCATTTTGGCTCTTATCCTCTCTAGGAGGTTACCATCGTTGGAACCTCTGCAGATACTAAGCTCTTCTGTCCCCAAAGCGAGCAGAAAATTAGCTCCACCCTTCCCTCCTGAGTCTCCTCTATGGCCACCTGGAATCTAGATGGTCAGAGCTTTTACCCGTGTGAGAGAAAGATGAAATATGAGCTACAGGAAAGTAGTAAGAGTTCCAGAAGATTGGCCCCAGGTGTGCAGAGCCAGACGGGGTTTAGAAGAGCTGGGACACCATTTGTGTCTAGTAAGAAAGAGGGGGAGACCTTGTCAGGTGTTCACACCATTGGATACCAGGTAATCCATCAAAGAGGATTGGAGGAGTTGAGGGTGTGACTCAGTGATAGAGCATGTGCTTAGCATGCACGAGGCCCAGGGTTCCATCCCCAGTTCTGGGGAGATGAAAGCCAATTTGAGCACAAATAGTGTTAAAGATGTCCCCTCTAAACCCTCTCTACTGTCTGTGATCTCTCGGTTTCCACCTTAAAAGCCTGAGACAACAGTAGGTCATTTCCAAATGTTCACTGGAGAACACTGACTTCCATTCTCACATGCTAAGAGTTTCAGGGGCTCCAGGGAGACTTGGTCAGAACTCTGAAGACTCTAAGCTCCCACAGGGGTTTAGAAATGCGGTACATCTAAGATTTTTTTTTTTTTTTCCCTGACTTCCATCTTGTTCTCTTTCTACAAATAGGAAAAAGAAAAACAAAGGCCCTGCTGTGGGCATCTACAATGGCAATGTCAACACCCAGGTGCCGAGGCAGCTGAAAAAGTTCCAGAAAGGAAGAAAGGACAATGACTCCCATGTGTACGCAGTCATCGATGACACCATGGTGTATGGACATCTGCTGCAGGATTCCAATGGGTCCTTCCTCCAGCCAGAGGTGGACACCTATCGGCCCTTCCAGGGCCCCACGGGGGACTGCCCTCCCTCCCCACCCCCCATATGCTCCAGGACCCCAACTGCAAAGTTGACCACAGACGAGCTGCCCCCTTGCATCTCTCCTGAGTCTGAGAGTGAACCCTACACCTTCTCCCACCCCAACAAGGTGGAGGTAGGCAACGGGGACACAGACATCCCCTTGCTGGATACCCAGGAGCCTGTGAAGCCAGCCGAGTAACTTTAGATCCTTTCTAAAGACTTTGCTGAGGTGCACAAAGCAAGGCACTGAGACACTCCTCCAGTGTTCCTGCCCAGAACTCCTAGAGAAGCATATAGAAGAAGAGCAGGATTTCCTGGCCGCCACTGTCAGATTTCCCAGTGGACTCATTCCAGTGGTGAGATGTTGAAAAGGAGGGATTCGGACCTGGATACAGTCACGCTACAGTGTTGTAGGGTAGTCCATAAAGAGACGTGAGTCACCTGATAGAGGGGTCGCCACAAGCCCGGATTTGGAGTGATAAGCGGAGTCTTGCCCACTTCATGGTGACAATTCTGATTCCTAGGAGCCCACCTGAGGGAGATCCTGGCTCTCGTTAGAGTCCCCTGGATGAAAAGGACACTGTGCCTAATTATTATTTATGTGGTGTTCCTATGTATTTAAGTGGTCAAATGTATCACCACCCAGTTCTTTTCACCTGATATAATATTGACTTGTGCCAACCGGTTCCTATGGCGGGGCTTTGACTTCTACCAGCCACTAGATAAACTTGTGCTTGTCCCCTGTGAGGTGCGATAATTTGCAGTCTGTCCCACCAGAAAAGGGTATGTGTGGGAGCTGCAGGGACACCCATCTGCTTGGGTAGGAGACTTCCTGATTCTCTCCAGCTGTGTAGAGTTATCCCCCTGCAGACATTTAGCTTGTGTTCCTTTGTCTTTTACTCCTAGAGAGAAATTTCTTTGAGTTGCCATGTGTGGCTCTCCCAGCTGCAGCAAGACTCTTGACATTTAAACAAAAATTCAGAGAATACTTTCCTCCTCCAAAAATGTTTAAATACATACCAGAGAGTAAGCCACCTGGGTTAGTTTCTGTGGCTACTGCAACACATTATTATTTGGTGGCTTCAAAGCAACGCAAATATAATGTCTTACCGTCTAGAGATCAGAATTCCCAAATGGTTCTCTTTGGGCCAGATTCCTGGCATAGACTCTAGAATTCATTTCCTTAGCTCTGGTGACTAGTCAGGTCTTTCTCATACGGCATCACTGATCACTGACTGCCCTACTTCCCTCTTCTACTTCTGAATCTAGGATGTTCTCCCCACCTCAAGATCTTTACCATCGGGCTGGGGATATAGCTCAGTTGGTAGAGTGCTTGCCTCGAATACACAAGGCCCTGGGTTCAATCCCCAGCACCCCAGGATCTTTACCATCCATAGTGGACAAGTCCCTTCTGTCATGTAAGGCACACATCCACGGGTAGGGATTGGGACCCTGCTGGGAGGGTGCCATTAATCTGCCTGACTCACCTTCCTGCCACTGACACCCACAGAGAAACTACAAAATGATCCAGCTCACCGGGTGTTTTGTTTAGCCTGCCGTCTTTTTTTAAAGAATTTGTGACTAATGTTTAAAACTCCAAAATATTGCATTAAAATCCAGAGCAGAAGATCTGCCCACACTGAGCTCACACTCAACCCAGCGACTGCTGGACGCGGTTGTTGGTAGAATGGTGCTCCCACAGAAATGCCATTCCTGTAATGGAAAGACCCGGACCCTCGTCTCTTCCCCAGTGAGAAGCTAGACCACAAGTCCGGCCTGTGTTTCAGGAAAGTGTTTCCTCCTAGTGCGTCTCCTTCCTGTATGCAAATCACCAGCCCCATTCCTGTGAACCTTTGCCAGCCGGCTCTGCTCTAACCTGGGAGAAGAGCCACAGTGCAAAGTTCAGTACTTCCTGCAAAGAATAAAGGTGACTCTCCATTGTGTTCCTCACCCTGGAAGTGCACCACCTCTCCTGGTCAGGTGGCCCCAGTGGAAGGGCGTTGGACAGTCACCTGGATGGTGTGTGCTCCGCACACTTGACCTCTTTCCAGAAGGAAGAGGATTTATTTCTCTGATCATACCCTGTCCTTTCTGAAAGGCTGGCTTCGCCCACCTCCTTTCAGACTCCACCCCAGATGCTGGGGTTGACCATACATACTATTATCACTTGCAAGGTCCTCTTATGGACATTTTGCTTTTTTTTGTGTGTGTGGGGGGGGGATCCCAGGGATTGAACTCAGGGGCGCTTAACCACTGAGCCGCATCCCCAGCCCTTTTTTGTATTTTTTTAAGAGACAGTGTTGCTGAGTTGCGTAGAGCCTCACTCAGTTGCTGAGGCTGGCTTTGAACTCTCAATCCTCCATCCTCAGACTCCCGAGCCACTGGGATTACAGGCATGTGCCACCGTGCCCAGTGGGCTACATTTGCTTTTAAGGGAAGGCTCAAGACTCTGGGCTGAGTTGCTGGCCCCCTGATCCTGCAGGTGGATGAGTCTTCCCTAAACCCAGGCTCAGAGAAGGGGCCCAGTCTGAGCATGCGGCTCTTTAAGACCCAGACCCCACTTATGTACAATATTTCCAGGACTCTGGAGACCAGTCAAATGTCATGTTGATTTTTGCTGTGTGCCAGCATCATGCCCTTCCATCCTAGATCTGCAGATGCCCAGGCAGCCCGTATGCCCCTTCTGCTTCATCTGTGAGCGAGGCTGGCTCACACAGGATTGATCTTCAGTGCTGCGGACACTGCATGGGAGAGAAAGTTCTCCAAGAGGAGTCAAGAGGGCAAGCCGAAGTCCAGACCTCAGGAGAGGTTAGGGGATGGTTCGTGTGGATCTGCAAAAGCTGAACTGGAAATAATTTATTTAATGTAGATACTTTTTACGTAGCATTTTATTCATTTCCTATGCTTTTTTTAAAAATAAACAAATGTACAAAACAAATGAGTATTGGGTTGTTTAAATGCTCTGACTATTCGTTCTCTGGTTTGATAGAGGCCCCAGTTTCCCAGTTGTTCCTTTTCACAGGCTTCGCAGGGGCCAGCAGCTTCTGGCTTCGTTCTTACACCAGGGCTTATTGTACAGGGAACTGGGCTTTGGGATGCAGTGTATGAAGCAGATGTTTTTGAGCTGAAATAAAAATGATCGTCTTGGGCTGGGGACGTGGCTCAGTGGCAGAGCACTTGCTGCCTGGCATGATGTGAATCCCTGGGTTCCATCCCCAGCACCATTAAAAATATATATATAGTCTTAGAATCTGGCTGTCACCCATTTCCAAGTCTGTGTATGCAGGGAGAAGGAATGGAAGCTCTCAACAACTCAAGAGGCCACAGCTCATTCTGTTCTGTTCTTGTTAAGGCAGCAGCCCCTCTGTGGGACCACCCCCACTAGCTGACCCTGCAGAGGCCCGGGGCTGCCCTCCCCACTCACCCAGCTGCAAGTCATCACCAGCCACCAGTATGGAAGTACAGGAAGGGGCCAGAGAAGGAAGTGCCAGAGGAGCCCCCATGGACTTGGAGAGGGGACCCAAGCACACTGGCTTGAACACATCAAGGAGATCAGACGTTGCTGCCTAGACAACCATCCCAAAATTTAGCAAGCCATCTCAGCTTTTGCTCTCAAATCTGTAATTTGATTGAGCCTCAATGGGGACTGCTTATCTGTGCTCCGTGGGACCTTAGCTGGGGCGGCACAACCGGAATCCTCTTTGGAGATGGCTCTTAACATACCTGGCAAATTAATGCAGGTCATTAGCTGGGAGCTTTGACTCAGGGACACTTGGGCCACTCCACAGGGCTTTGGGTGCTGCTTCATCACATGGTGGCTGGTTTCCAAGAGTGTTTCCAGAGTCAGAAAGTGGGAAGTGCTGGTCTCTCGAGGCCTGAACCTGGTATCACTTCTACTCTATCGGATGGTGTGCCCGTCACAGAGCCCACCCAGATTTAAGGGGAAGAAACAAAGGCCCCCACACATACATCTCAGTGGGAGAGGTGTCAAAGGATTTTTGGCTATAGTGGGGCAGGGAGATCAAGTGTCCTGTCCTTGAATGGCACTGACGGCCTTGATCATCGTGCTCTTGATTTACCCAACATCTGGTTTACACCCCACCCATCTGCTGGATGATGGCATCTCCAGTGTACAACCCAGCCCTCCCCACCCCTTCCCCCAACCCACCCAGGACCTCAGAGCTGAATCCCGTTGGGGCTCAATATCCTCAGGCTGTGTCAAGGGACTCCTGCCTGCAGCCCTCTATGTGCCATCACCCGGGACAACTTGTGGCAAAAAGCTACCATCCCTCCCCCTGCCCACTGATTGGAAATCCTACCAGTGCTCCAGACTGTGCCAAAGAACTTACTTCCTCCAGGAAGCCCTCCAGCCCCACCAAGTTGTACCTCTAAATCCCAATCATCTTTCTGATTCATAATTCTGCATTTAGCCACATTAGGCTTATGGCTGACGTGTTTGTACTTGCCTGTCTTTTTACCTAAGAAGTATGTACGTTTCCCAGATGCAGAGGCCCATGTCTTGTACGTTATTCATCTGCCTCATACCACCTCACACAGTGAGTGCCCTAGAAATAACATCTGTTGCATTTACTAGTCCGAATACACTCCTGCACTTAAAGCAGGGACTTCAGGGAGGTGTTATTCTAGGGCATCCTGAGGGAGGGAAGGAGGTTGATGTCAGGTTTTGCAAACCTTATCTCACCTCGCCCTCTGATAATCCTAGGTACAAAGTTCATCTCCAGTTTACTACTGAGAAAGGAAGGCGCAGCAAGGTGGATTTACCTGCCCAAGGTCACAAACCAGCAGAAGGCTGGGCAGCAATAGCTCAGTGGCTCACCAGCGCCCTCTGCTGCTAGGCTGGACTTGAGCTGAGAGACAGGCTCAAGCAAGGGGATGCGGGGAGTCTGGTGGACCTCAGAGCTCCCCAGAGCGTCCTTGTCTCCCCTGTCTCCATTCCTTCCTCCAAGAGGCCATAAATTTTGGAGGAGAGAGCAAGCCTGCTTCCCGCTTCAGGCCCCCTCTGGCAGCTCCTCCCCCATGGCAGGCCCACCCAAGGGTCTGGGGTTCCAGCCACAGGGTAAAGCATCAGCACCCCAGGCCACTGCCAGACCTGCCTTCTCCACCCTTGCCCCTGCCCTTCAGCCTGCACCTCTCACAGACTCCTGCTCCCCAGGAAAGAGGGGAGTCCCATTTAAACCC